TCACGAACAGAATATATCTATATCCATTATTCACCTCTGCATATTGTTGCATTTCAGCAAGATCGATCTGCCACAAATCAGCAAATCCTTTGATGATTGTTCTTCTTCTTCTGAAGTTGCGGCGAGCAGATCTATGTAGTTCCTTTGCAATTTGTCGTTTAATATCATTCATATCTTCACTTCGTCTATGGATCTATCTCGATTCGCATGTAGATTATAACTGATGAGCTCAATCATAATGTTCTCTTGATATAGCTATCGAATCTAGTATACTATACCTTCTTCTCGCAACTCTTCAATTATGGATATGATTTCGTTGGTATGTCCAGTATGTCCAGCCATCTTCGAACTCCATAATAATCTCAATCGATCCACCAGTTCTTTGGGTCTATTCCAATATACATACTCCTTTTTCGACGTAGTGTACAATTTTTTTGATAGAAACTTCTTCAGTTTTCCACCTTTCTTTTTCCTCATTTCATAAGGAGTACGAACTGATGGTTTGATTAATTCATAATATTTCTTCGAACTTGATGTATTGAGCCCTTGCCTGAGATCGTAGTTCTTGTATGGTGCTCGTGTCAGTTGCATTATAGCGGCAAATGATTTCATATTTTCACCTCTAATATTTTCTGGTGGTTTCTTGAGGAATATCATATCATATAATTGTAGATCAGCTGCAAACTGTTTCTGTGTTTTACCTATTCGAATTATGATGTTTCCTATAGGAAAACTCACTTCAGCTTTACCAATCTTCAGTCGTTTTGTTTTGGAATCTATATGAACACCATATGCTTTGTCATAGCGTGAGTCCCCAGATAATAAATTTTCAATGTGTCCATTTGCTATTCGATCTTGCTTCTCAATGGCTTCAATGGTATTATCGTCATTCATTGAAGATATTGTTGACGAAGGTGGCGTATCCATGAGATGTGATTCTGTGGGATCGGGTACGATATTAGTTTTCCATGAAGGCGAATAAAATTCGGTATTATCACTACGGCCATTATATTTCGGTGTACTTGCTGATAATGGGATATAGGATGTATTATTCGAGACGGGTATACTTGTTTCGGTGACCGACGGCAAATTTTCGATTTTTGGTTTTGCTACGGTTGCAGCAGATATTACGTTGAGCGGTTTTGTTATGGGTTCATATATTTTCTCGAGAGACATCAGATTTTCGGTACGATTACTCTTGATAGTATTGAATTTCTGTCTTACTGCATCCGTCGCTTCGATCAATTGTCGTTTCAATTTCATGTCACTCTCTGTTTTTTCATCCATTTTTATCTTCATCATTACCCAGCACGTGCAACTCCTGTGACGATTGGGAATCAATTGACTGGTCTTCGTTATTTTCAAGGATATATAAAGCTATCGAATCCTTTTCTATAGCGACCATTACATATCTCACTGTCTTTGTCAATGACAAGAAAGCCGTGATTATCTCTCCAACATTCTCCACACATATCCTGAAATTCTTTGAAAGTCACATCCGGTGAAACATGATCAGAAAAAATGTGTTGCAAATTTGTCACATCTTGCTTGAATATAACTATGAAGTTGGAGTTGTCGCGGATCAATTGTTTTGGAATTCTTGAGTATGTTTGTGCTAAGTAGAAACAGTCCACCTGTCTATGACGACCCATACTGAAATATGATCGGATAACATCTTGATTTTCACTTATCACATCATCAAAAATGAATATGGAATCTGGTTTGGCTTCCGATGGATCCATCACCTCTGTATTATTACTGAATGTGAAGAATCCCAGTCCACTTATCGGTTCCAATACATTATGTAGATATTCATACTTTGGTTGATTAAGTGACTTGGAGTATAAATATACGTTTGCAAAGCGCAGGCCATGAGGGTGAGTCAACAAAGATATCATCACATTTGTTTTGCCGCAATTAGATGGACCGATGATGAGGCCACGGACAGTAGAAGGTAATAAATTACCATGTCGTGACAAATTCTCTTTTCCATTTCCATATCCAATTTTTCTATCCCAATTATCTACAACGAAGTGTTCCTTCTGTTTAACAATGTGCATCGTTTGGTAGTCGAATGATATATGAATGTGGATACGTGAGAAACTTCTCATTCATATGATGAAAGTCAAACGGTGCAGACGTATAACTTCACCTAAACTGATTAAAAGTGGTAGAGGTTTCGTTAATACACTAATCAATAAACTTCCATTCCAATTACATATACCTGGTGGTTATCAGTACTGTGGTCCTGGAACCAAATTGCAGAAGCGATTAGCAAGAGGAGATCCTGGAATAAATCAGTTGGATATCGCATGTAAGAAACACGATATTGCTTACTCTCAGAATCATAGCGATCTTGCAGCTAGACATAAAGCAGATGAACAATTAGAGTTAGCAGCGTGGGAAAGAGCAAAGTCAAGAGACGCGAGCGTAGGAGAAAGGAGTGCTGCTTGGTTGGTGACCAATATAATGAAAGGAAAACGACGTTTTGGCATGGGTTGTCGTAAAGTCAAGAAATTCAAACGTAGAGGAAAAAAAACACGAAAAATAGCTTTCGGATCGGGAATAGTTCACAAAGTTCGAGGAGCTCTTCGTCTAGCAGGTGGAAATACAAAACTCGCAAAGAATATGGAGAAAGCGACGACTATTGCCTTAGCAGCTGCTCAAAAATATTTGAAAGTTGCTGGAGGAAAGAAGAATATTCGTACTCCTCGCGTAATTCCAATACCCAAGGTTGGAGGCATTCTCCCACTTATACCAATATTTGCAGGCTTATCTGCTCTAGGAAGTATCGCAGGAGCAGCTGCAGGAATTACTAAAGCTGTTCAGGCAGCTAAATCAAGTAGAGAACAGCTCATTGAAGCAAATCGCCACAATCGAAACATGGAGGCCATTGCGATTGGAAAGAGTGGCAAAGGTGTTTATTTGAAACCCTATAGAAAAGGACTAGGTATCTTCCTAAAATCACCGAATTCAAAAAACTAATAGACTCCCTACCTCGGAGACCTTTGAGCAATATCGATATTGAAAATTTTGCACAACAGGCAAAGCTTCCCAGTTTTCGAGGTGTATTCATGCGTGACAGTTTACCTCCTTCTGGGCCATCTCGCGACGAATCTGCCATCATAAATCTAGATACAATCAGAGGCCCTGGCACTCACTGGGTTGCATATAGGAAACGTGGTAGGGTAATCGAATACTTCGATAGCTATGGTGATTTACCCCCACCTAAGGAGTTAGTTCAATATTTTCATAGTGGCTCAACAGCAAAATTCAAAATACTATACAATTATGATCGTAAACAGAAATACAATACAGTCTGGTGTGGACATTTGTGCTTGAAGTTTCTGTCCACTATCAGTGATACATAGAATTATCAGATCACTCATGGATCGCGAGAGTATCAAACGTATGGGACATTCCTTGAAAGCCTTTTCTAAAGTAGGAAGCTTATTGAAAATGACGAAAGAAGAGCTTACTGATATGCCGAAAGAAGTAATAATCGCTTGTACTCCACATGAGATAATTATGGTATGGGATAAGCTACCTATACATTTACAAAACGATATAGATATTTTGAAATATCAGTACTGTGATGAACATCATGATGAAAATGTGACCAATGATGTTAACGATGGACCAACACCTAGAAGAATATTCTGTTGCTATTGTAATATAAGGGATATCAACGTAGGAGCTAATAATGAGATAGAGTGCAAACCTGCTGAAATGAAGAAGCAAAATTCTTCATGCTGCAAACAACAATAAATCAAATAACGTAATATTTCCTTTTCGATATCATGAATCAACCATTTGTGTTTACCTAATTGTTATTATCGGGTAATAAATATTCTCAAAACTACACAACGTATTTTTTCTTCTTTATTAAACTTCCAATTTTCCTCATATATTAACTTCATCACTTGATAATTTATTCTGATATATTTTCAGGAATTGAAGAAGTGTCTTGATTCATGTATGATGATTGACGTCATAATATGTGGTCAATGAAATGAGATGATGAAGAATTTGCTCATCAGTTCAATGTCATCAGTCATGTCGAGAACATTCACATTAAGTGGAGAAACGAGTGTATTGAGTGCAAACTTCTTCCCACCAATCGAATTAGATGTGAACAGTCGTTATGGATTGGGATTGCATGGATTTTACTCATACAATTCCATTTTCAATGTAGACGAGAAAAATAATATAATCAGTTACAGAATAAAGGCAGATGATCCACCTGTTACTATATCAATCCCTCCAGGAGTCTACGAGATCGATGAAATCAATAGAGCTATTGAAAATATAATGAAAATCAAAATGAATACATCGATTAATGATATACATTCGATATTTTCATTACATGCTAACAATAATACTTTGAAATGCGAAATTCAGTCTAAATTTGAGATTGATTTAACACATGAGAATTCCATGGCATCTCTTTTAGGATTCGAAGCTCTGTGCTTGGAAGCAAATAAACGACATGAATCGACATTACCCGTGAACATCATGCGAGTAAGAATTATTCGAGTCGATTGCAATATTACGTCTGGAGCATATTTCAATGGTGAAGAAGCACATACTTTATTCGAATTCGACATAGATGTAGAACCAGGGTACAAATTATCTAAGGAGCCGCAGAATATCATTTATATGCCGGTGAGACCTGAAGGATGTCAGTTCATTGACAACATCACTCTGAGTATCTTGGATGATAACGGTGCCTTAATAGATTTCCGAGGAGAGAAAATAATATTGAAATTGGAACTAAGGAAATTATCGTGAGTTATCAACGATGGGATTTTCATTCAGACGTTCTGATAGGATATCATCATCATCATCAGATTTCCAAACACATATAAGGAAGAGCAAGAGCAATTCCAAGTTCATTTCACGTCGTCATCCCGAGCAGTCAAGATATAAGCTATCAGCGGACGATCGAAATTTTCTCAAGAATATTGTTGGACTGAAATTACGAAAATAATACTAACAACATGGTGGCCCATACTACTAGTGAAAAATTGAATGTTTTTGATGAGCCAATTCTGGATCACTCATTAATTAGTCTCCATGAACACACATACAAGCCATATGGTTCACCATATTATAAAAATTCAGACGAAATTCGAATTCCTATCAACTTCCAAGATTTGATACTGGACATCGCAGAAAGTTTCATATATATCGAAGGTAAATTCACTCCTACTGATTCTACCAAAGTTTGTTATTTATCTAATAATGCACTGGCATTCCTCTTTGATGAGATTCGTTATGAAATGGGAGGTGAACAAGTAGCTGTAATTCGAAAGCCTGGTATAACTACTACAATGAAAACTATGATTTCATATGGACAAACGCATATGACATCGCTTCAAACTACTGGATGGGGTCTCAAACAAGAATCACAAGATATTTTGGACTCCCAAAGTCACATCTTTAGTGGAAAATTACCTTTGAAGTACCTGATGGGCTTTGCTGAAGATTACACCAAAGGAATTCTGAATGTAAAACAAGAGCTCATACTTATAATTGCTCGCACATTCAAAAACTCATATATTGGAGAGGTTGATGCTGATTTGGAGATTAGTAAGATAGAATGGAAAATCAAACACATCATGCCAGAAGATCGACAGAAGCTCAAATTGCTCAATCGAATAAATAAAACTAACACAGCTAAGGTCAAGTTAGCATACCGAATGTGGGATCTGTATGAATTACCATCACTTCGAGACACTGCCTCAGATATTTGGGCAATAAAAACAACGAATAGTCTCGAACGCCCTCGATATATAATTATTGGATTTCAACACACTAACGATCTCAATGATAGATCAAAAGATGCAACAAAATTCAAACATGCTGATGTTAACAATATTCGTCTATATCTCAACTCAGAAGTATATCCATATGAAAGGTGGAATCTTGATTTTGGTAAAAAGCTTTACTCACCAGCTTACTATGCGTACGAACAATTCCAGCGAAACTATTATGATAAAGATATGAGTGAGCCCATGATGACCATCGGAGAGTTTCGTGACAACCCCCTATTCATCATTGACTGCTGTCATCAACCGGATGCTATGAAGACTTCTACAGTGGACATAAAATTAGAATTCGAGACTCGCAAAACCAAGTTTCCAGAAAATACGAGAGTATATGCATTAATCATACATGACGCATGTATGACATACAGCGCCCTAGATGGCACTGTTCAAACGGGATCTGTCTGATGGAAATGAAGTATGGTAGTTGAAATATATAACTATGATAGAATCATGTATCAAGTTAGTCTAATAATTTTTTATACTTATACTTCTTTTATTATAATGTATTCCTGATATTCTGCAGAAATAAAACAGATTCATGAGTCATATTTGTTTTATTCATTATAATTATAACATAAATCAATTCTTTTATGTACATTCTTCATTATCTTCATGTAGATGGAATTCCTCACAAATGTCTTTCGGTAAGTGTGGTGCCAATTGGAAGAGGAATTCGCGTAAGTCAACATCAACAAGTTGCTCACAAAATTGTACCAAGTTCATACTTCCATATATGAATTTATTACATATACCGGAACCAGCATTATACTTTTCATGAAGTCGCATACATCTCTGTATAGCATCGTCATCAAAACAAATATTCATATCATAGTTGGTGGAATGTAGAGCATCAAAACTAAGGTCATCGAACTCACATCTTAGTCGGTCAATTGCTGATTTTATATCTGTTGCTTCTGGCCATCCTTGTCGAGAGTATTGCATCCACATATTAACGTACCAAAATCACTGAAAACGTAAACAGTTTAGGTTATAATAATAATAATACTGATGAAATTATCATACTCACATCAGTGGGATTATTTCAATGATAAAAGATTGGTATATAATCTGAGAGGAAAATATTTCACAATATAATATATATTATTCCCAACTATTATCACTATGGTCATATGAAATAAAATGATATTTTGACAAAACTATTCATCTAAGACGAATTCAATAAGAGATCGTGTTTTTGACCCTGCGAAGCTAGGTAAACTCTCTCCCAAATATTTCAAGCTGAATTGACTATCAGGGGAGTTCAGTTCATTGATTATATCATCACTCAATCGATCTGTCACTCGCTTTGGTAACCATGTTTTGAATTTGTTACCCTCATCAGATAATAACAATAAACTAGATCGCCCATATCTCGTAGATAGAACAGTGACCTTCTCTAGGCGGTATTTCTTGTTCACAGCCAATGAAGATAATGAAATAGTTTGGAATTCTTGTGATGTTTGATTTATCATCTCATTGATTTTTTCTAGATCTAGTTTTCCAACAGACATTTCAATGATAATATTTTTGGAATAATACGATAATTGTAAAATAATTTTACCTCGACTTAGATTACACAGGATTTGGTGATGCTGACTTCAATTCTAGCACAACAACCACTCTAAGGGATTTTAAGATATCGAATGATGAGTTAGAATGGCTCTAGCCCTTTATATACTCTTGAAGGTAGAGGGGATTTATGGGAAATGGAAACAACCCCCCACTCTTATCCATCTAGCATGAAACACACCGTTTTCTAGTCAGTGGGGTACCACGACAGCTGGAGTTAGGATACCTAGCAACTGGATTCGATCTCTGTAATGTATACCCTGAAGTAATCTCAAGGTCACCATCAACCACGATTTCACCTTGCATCACCGCATACACGTATTCATATAATTATCTTTCAAGTTCGGATAATGAGTATTCGTCAATAACATACAATTTCAGCATAATACACTCATGGTCATATGACTTATTCCATTGATTCAATTGAACAAGTACCTTCGACCTTGGTCGGTCTTAGCCTCTGGTAATTAGAATTGTAATTGCGATAATTACCCTTCAAATGACCTTTAGAGGCTGTAGAACCGGCCAAGAATCACTACTCCCGTGTATGACAAATAATATGTGAATCAAATTGAACATGTTCAAAAAAAAATTGGTCAACAATTTGAACTATAGATTCTTCCGCTTCCGTCACTATAATAATATGAGCTATAAGAGCAACTTGCGTTTCTATAAAATGGAGAATCTTTTCATTAGAAGAGACTTCGTTGTCATATTATTCATTCACAAGATCTTCAACAATTATATTGATTCAACAGTATGCACTGGATTCCTGAGCTTGAATTGTAATCCTAGAATGGTTAGGAATAGACTCACTTTCTACCCACCTACTTTCTCAACTAGTTATTATAGTAATTCACCTCTAATAAGATGTATAAACTCGTACAATACAATTTGCCACTCTTAAATTGATATATTTCACCTTAATATGAAAAGATTCAAGGAACAACTGAGAGAATTCTTGTTAAATTTTTATAGTATTCCTTGAATATGAAAATATCGGAATAGTGCTGGTATTCATTCATTTATGATACTTAAGTCATATCGCGATTGTAATTTTCCAGTCTGTGTCAAAATACTATACCTATGTATATTTCATATACACAGTGAAAAAAAAATTACACCAGTTCACACCAGCTAACACCCTTGGGTGTCCCCTGAGGTCCTGATCATTTTAGTGTGAATTAACTCTGATATTTTTAACACCATCATAGGGTGTCATTCGTTCTTACATACAGTCAAGAACTACACTAGAGTATCTAGAGCTAATTTGATCGATTCGTGTTCCCAACTAGCATTTTCAGTCACAGGCACCATGGTTCAAGAAACTATTACTTATATTTAGTGATAATAACGTATTTATCACTTATTTCAGAACTTCATAGTATAAATGTCAGTGATAGTTATTTAGTGAGTGAAAATTACGTAGTTTTTACACTAGATAATAACTTCAAAGTGAGAAATTCTCATGGCTTATAACGAAGTAACTATTTCGAAACTGTCACTCCTCAAAACTACTCTTAAGGTTTCGGAACTTTGGATATATTATTACGGTAACGCTTACCACCCCAAGAAGGCTTCACAGTTGCAATTACTCTATGGTCACCAATTAGGTTTCTACGACGTTGTCGTTACTTGATCGATCACCTAATAATTTAGTCAATTCTTGGTGATATTTCAAGTAACATATTGGTAATTCCTACTCAAACAATTCCTTCATAGTTGAAACAACTTTTCGGTAATTATATTCAGTTGAAGTTACCAATACATAGGTTATCATAACCGACGAGTTCCAAAAGTAACTTTCTGATTCATTTTCGATTGGAAGCCATATTGATTGATGTGATAACCATTTGAACAGGAAATAATTTTGGTTTTTCTTGTTGATAAACATCATTTTATGAAGAATAATAGCATTCGTTCGATCACAAATTGCATAATAATGGAAATTAACATGATTTACGATGATTTTTGAAAAATAGCCGAATGAAATAAAACCATATTTTTGGTGAAATGAGCCGTATTTTGTGGGCGCATCTTGAATTTCGAGGCAAAATCATCACATTTATCGAAAAACTGAATGTTGTTCGAATTTTTCAAGTTCGAGTATCAATTATTTCGCGTGTTTGTCCTTGTATTATTTATTGAATGGTTAGGCATATTGGACTTGTTCATTTTTCGTGAATGTGAACTTCATGGATGAAATGAAGAATAATAAAGAGAGAAAATAATATTTTTATGAAGTGGAAAAGAAATAGAAAGTCAGGTAGGGAAATTTACTACATCTTTACGTAATTTCGACGTCGACGGGTCGTAAGCATTACGTAATTGTGTGAGTTCCCGCTACGTCGGCAAACCGTAATAATTACTCGTGATTTGTTCCCCATTTTGGTCGTAAATACGTAGTAACGACGTAATTATAACGTAACCGCAACTAGTAAATATCACTTAATAGTCGACCCAATAGTCGTAATTACGTAATAGCGACTATAAATGCTAGTTGGGTTATTCAACACCAGAGTGGTGACTGTACAATCATTTGGTGATTATTTTGACAATGTATCTGTTGCGTTTTTGCTTTTACTGGTGATATTATGATAATATGTGAATATTTGTCGGATATTCTTCTGTTGTGAAAACACACTTATCGAGTGTTATCACGCTGAGAAGCAGTGTTTTCTTGTATGCATCTGAGTGTTGAATAACACGACTCTGATATACCAACATTAGTATTCAGTGTATGAAACGATCCAATGTAGTGAGAATTGTGAATTACAAAACATCTCTGAGCTGATACTATTTGTAGGCTGTCGAGAAACGTGCGTCGAAAGAGCGCTAGTGTCACCATCTATCAAGAAATTCACTAAATATTTTTCTGTGCACAAAATTTCTACTTTGACATTCAATTTCATGTTCAATCTGGTTCGATATAAGTACTCTATATCGCTTCGCAATATAAAAATCATCATATATAATTTATGAATCAGCTTAAAATTTATTTAATGCATTATTTTCACGAATTCATCCGTTCTTATTGTCGCACCTATCAATCTGGATACCAGAATTCTTGGATGATAATATACCTACACAGTGTCCATCCATTCTTCAATGAGTTCAGGTTTTTCAGTGGGTAATTTCATAATCAGCAAACATTATTTATTCACATGGGAGAATGCATGACGATGATGCCCAAATCTCATAATTTAAACACGGTTCTGATTTGTTTGTGATTGGTGAGGGTGTAACTAGGTGATTATTTTATATGATAAGTGAATTTTTTGCGTTAACTTGGATGATACCACTATCGAAAGTAATTACTTTTCATCCTGTTGGTGTTTCTTTCGAATGGATATTTCAGAACCCCTCTAAATTACCACATCCGTGTAATTTTTCACTATGACTGTGTGAATTGACACCACTGTACACGGTATTATCAAATTTCTAATAAAATTGGTATGAAATTGCTAATCAAGTGTTGATTCAATCGGAGTTATTTCTGAAATCCACTCGGTTGAAATTACACCCGAAGATTTTTCACTGTGTATGTTGATATCGTATATACCGACGTAACTGTTGTTTTCTTCAGATTGTTATTTTCGAATGAAAGTTATGGAATAGGTAGGTACTTAGTTTTCAAATGATAGTAAGTAGGTGCAACCCATGTAAAGACAATAATTATGTATTACTGTGTTAACTTGTTGTTGAAAGGAATATTCATATAGTTCCCCTGTTGGATAACCTTGCTTTCTAAATAAATAAATGAATGAATATCACAAAAATATACAGTAGAAGTATGATTTTCCACAAAACCAATCCTATCACCGCATCTTCATGGT